ATATATATATATATATATATATATATATACACATATATATATACACATATATATATATATATATATATATATATATATATATATATATATATATATATATATATACATATATATATATATATATATATATATATATATATATATATATATATATATATATATATATATATATATATATATTTTTATATATATATATATATATATATATATATATATATATATATACCACACAGCACCTTGCCTACGCTCAGACCCAGACCTCACCGTGTCTTCCCACCTACCCATAATACCAGAGTTCCACGCTATGCTTTACCCCAATGATTGACTAGTCCTTTCCCCTCTTTCCTACCTTATTCCTCTACTCTTGACCCCTATTTTTGAACGCCCTCATATTCCTTCAACCCTCTCCTCAACCCACATACAGGAGTCATTGCTGTAAACAACCGATGCTCGAAAGGCGGGATCCAAGAGTCAATGCTCGATCCTGCAGACACAACTAGGTGAGTACAACTTCACCACTTCTACATGTGTATTTAACCCAAAATTGCATTTTATGTATTCATTCTTTACCTGAAGATGTTCGAGAGTGGAATGAAGCGTTTTACAAAATAAATCCTTCAATAATGACTAAAGTTTCTTTACCATGAGTGTTGGTAACTTTATTGCTCTTCTTAATCCTGACACTAAAAAAAATATTAAAACTATATAAGTCTCAACTCTCACAGTGACCTGGGGGCTCAACCCCCCACAGTGACCTGGGGGCTCAACCCCCCACAGTGACCTAGGGGCTCAACCCCCCCCCACAGTGACCTGGGGGCTCAACCCCCCACAGTGACCTGGGGGCTCAACCCCCCCACAGTGACCTGGGGGCTCAACCCCCCACAGTGACCTGGGAGTTCAACCCCCCACACAGTGATCTGGGAGCTCAGCCCCCCACAGTGACCTGGGGGCTCAACCCCCCCACAGTGACCTGGGGGCTCAACCCCCCACAGTGACCTGGGAGCTCAACCCCCCCACAGTGACCTGGGGGCTCAACCCCCCACAGTGACCTGGGGGCTCAACCCCCCACAGTGACCTGGGGGCTCAACCCCCCACAGTGACCTGGGGGCTCAACCCCCCACAGTGACCTGGGGGCTCAACCCCCCACAGTGACCTGGGGGCTCAAACCCCCACAGTGACCTGGGGGCTCAACCCCCCACAGTGACCTGGGGGCTCAACCCCCTTACAGTGACCTGGGGGCTCAACCCCCCCCACAGTGACCTGGGGGCTCAACCCCCCCCACAGTGACCTGGGGGCTCAACCCCCCACAGTGACCTGGGGGCTCAACCCCCCCACAGTGACCTGGGGGCTCAACCCTCCACAGTGACCTGGGGGCTCAACCCATGGTAATCATGGGATACCATGGGTTGTGGGAGAGCGTGGCGGGACAGTGCAGGAGTTGCTTGGCTTTGGTCACCATGGGAGCGAGCCCACATCAGGATCGAACTTGTGCGTCGGGAAGCCACGGTGCCACGGCTTACTCACCACCAGAGTGCCACACTCACCACCAGAGTGCCACACTCACCACCAGAGTGCCACACTCACCACCAGAGTGCCGAGTAAACATACCATCCTTATCCCAGGATACAAGCACATTACGTCCTTATCCCAGGATACGGGATAAGGAAGTGACACGCCACATCCTAACTGTCCTTTGAGACGGGTGAGGTATGAATGACTGTGGTCACACACCCCCAAGATCATTCTGGGAAGGAGGAAGAGGGGATGAGTGGAATGGACTAGATGGGATGGGAAAGCTCTCAGGTTCCTATAACACGAGTCCCAACTTGTGCTTCTGTGCTCCCTTGTGTCAAAGGAAGAACAGAACACTAAATACACTTGTATCTCTGGCGCCCCGTCATTCATTCCCCAGGAGTCATTCATTCCCCAGGAGTCATTCATTCCCCAGGAGTCATTCATTCCTCAGGAGTCATTCATTCCCCAGGAGTCATTCATTCCCCAGGAGTCATTCATTCCCCAGGAGTCATTCATTCCCCAGGAGTCATTCATTCCCCAGGAGTCATTCATTCCCCAGGAGTCATTCATTCCCCAGGAGTCATTCATTCCCCAGGAGTCATTCATTCCCCAGGAGTCATTCATTCCCCAGGAGTCATTCATTCCCCAGGAGTCTTCATTCCCCAGGAGTCATTCATTCCCCAGGAGTCATTCATTCCCCAGGAGTCTTCATTCCCCAGGAGTCATTCATTCCCCAGGAGTCATTCATTCCCCAGGAGTCATTCATTCCCCAGGAGTCATTCATTCCCCAGGAGTCATTCATTCCCCAGGAGTCATTCATTCCCCAGGAGTCATTCATTCCCCAGGAGTCATTCATTCCCCAGGAGTCATTCATTCCTCAGGAGTCATTCATTCCCCAGGAGTCATTCATTCCCAGGAGTCATTCATTCCCCAGGAGTCATTCATTCCCCAGGAGTCATTCATTCCCCAGGAGTCATTCATTCCCCAGGAGTCATTCATTCCCCAGGAGTCATTCATTCCCCAGGAGTCATTCATTCCCCAGGAGTCATTCATTCCTCAGGAGTCATTCATTCCCCAGGAGTCATTCATTTCCCAGGAGTCATTCATTCCCCAGGAGTCATTCATTTCCCAGGAGTCATTCATTCCCCAGGAGTCATTCATTCCCCAGGAGTCATTCATTCCCCAGGAGTCATTCATTCCGCAGGAGTCATTCATTCCCCAGGAGTCATTCATTCCCCAGGAGTCATTCATTCCCCAGGAGTCATTCATTCCCCAGGAGTCATTCATTCCTCAGGAGTCATTCATTCCCCAGGAGTCATTCATTCCCCATGAGTCAGTCATTCCCCAGGAGTCATTCATTCCCCATGAGTCATTCATTCCCCATGAGTCATTCATTCCCCAGGAGTCATTCATTCCCCATGAGTCATTCATTTCCCAGGAGTCATTCATTCCCCAGGAGTCATTCATTCCCCATGAGTCATTCATTCCCCAGGAGTCATTCATTCCCCATGAGTCATTCATTCCCCATGAGTCATTCATTCCCCAGGAGTCATTCATTCCCCATGAGTCATTCATTCCCCAGGAGTCATTCATTCCCCAGGAGTCATTCATTCCCCATGAGTCATTCATTCCCCAGGAGTCATTCATTCCCCATGAGTCATTCATTCCCCAGGAGTCATTCATTCCCCAGGATTCAAATGACCACAATGCCACTCATAAATAACACAATACAATTATATATTTTTCTTCTGGGAGAATAGGTTTAATAACACGTGAGATGAGATTAACATTGCATGTATCTGTCTATATACTGTCCCCCCCCCCTGTTGACGGTACGGTACACCCCTGTCAAACCTGGGTTGACGGGGGGTGTACAGGCCGCTCTCATCACGTTGTTCTGTTCTCTCTCAATTTTCCATTAGAATCTTTTACTGAAAATTAGGAAGGTCAACAGGACAGGTGGGTCGTGTTAGCCACAACGTCTGAACACAAACACATTGATTGACGGTTGAGAGGCGGGACCAAAGAGCCAGAGCTCAACCCCCGCAAACACAACTAGGTGAGTACAGGACTCTGTAGTGCGAGATATTTAAAAGAGAACCAAAAGGACAACTATGTTAATTGTAATTTGGTCCCGAGGGGCGAGATTATTGGGCAGCGCCACTCGTCCCGTGAGTGGACACACCGCCATAGCAGCGTGTGCAACACTCCCCAATAGGAAGAAAACCCGCTGGGTTGTTTTCATCCTGTCAGGCGGGGGTATTCGCATCATTGAGACATGGGGGTCGTTTAGGGTATTAATCAACTCTGCCCGGGAGTGTGGCAGAGTTGAACCGCTATCGTCTCCTCCTGACGGGAGGAGACGATAGCGGTTCTCCTGAGGTGGGTGGGTACGGCAAGTCACGTGCTAGACCATGGTCGCTGGCAATATACCCAACACCACCGTTAACAGTAGGGACGTCAGTTGCTTGACCAATGCCAGGGAGTTGAGAGCCAGCCGGGCGGCGACGCTGCAGCAGTACACACACACACCAGTGCTTATTAACAAGCTCTTTATGGTTTGAGTGCGTGTGTGGCCTGTCACCCCGGGCCTGCGGGTAGCTAAGTGCCGCTGGTGCAACACTCACATGAGCAACTTGGCAGCACGTGTCTATCTCCCGCGGGCTGACCAGCGGGCTCCCCGCCATCCCTTGCTCATCACCGGCCAAAAAGAGCGCCGGGAATGACCATTTTCGTCATCAAATAGACTTGGGCAAAGCTGATAACATATGGAAGTTTTATATATCAAGTTCATGCATAAAATCTACGCGGCGTGCGGTGAATCTTGAGGCATTGTTGCTTTCCGGGGTGAAGGTACTTGACAGAATTATTCCTCCCACTAAGTCACGAATGTCTGAGGTGCTTGCATGTCTGTCTGTTGTCCACAGTCCGTCTCAAGGTCGAACCTCTTCTTCCTCCTCCTCCTCCTCCTCGTCGTGGCCCTCATCGTCTGTACCATCGTCGAGGTCCAGGTCCAGGTGGTCGACCTTGAGGTATGGGCGAGGTGTTGCCTGGTACACCGGTGTCAATGGTACCAAGCCATCACCACAGTGACCTTGACACACTCCACCACTCACGCTGGGAGACGCCCCGGGAGAAAGGTCACACGGCCCAGACACGGGCCCTTGCTCAAGGTGTGTAGTGGTGTAGAGACGCACCGCCGGCCACCATCTATATATACGGAGTAGAAACAGGAATTTCCTTAAGTACTTTCGTATATTAATACATCTTCAGAAGGAGTGACTCCTTCTGAAGATGTATTAATATATATGAAAGTACTTAAGGAAATTCCTGTTTCAATTTTCCTCCGTGGTCTGACACTGTCACATTCTTAATCACGTGTTTATTTTCGTGATATACACACATATAGGGAGTTGTGTACAAGCCTGGTTTGTGCCTCGGAGAGGCTGCAGGAGCCAGTAAGTTCACTAGAACTTCGGTTTCAA